GTAGACTAAAAGTTAAAGGGTTACTTGCGTGTTCTTCCGATACTTAAATAGTAACCTCAAAGGAAAAAGGGAAGTGATTTTTCTGTAGATTTAAGTAGCAGAGTGGAATTATTCAAGGGGCAGAAAAATAGTTCTTGGTCTAACAATGTTGTTATTCATAAATGAAAAGCAAATAACTAGTTTATCAAATTGTGGCAACGTGCTCTAATCTACTGAATTTCTACCAAATACTATTTAGAGAGTTTTGGTCCCCTTTGCAGATCTCTGGCTAATGCATAACAGGAGTGACCAAAGTGGCTCATTCAAAGCAAGAGACTTCAGCTCCTAAAATGACTATAAGAAATACAACTTAATTTTATGTTTTTTTGATCTGTCACAGACTTATTAGGAAACTAATGACTCCTTTGTAATATAATTCTCTAATAACATTTGTCTCTTCAGGCTTTGATAGGAATGGAGAAAGATCATAGAGCACAGCATAAGAAAAGTAAAGTCTATAGGCTAAATTTTTAATAGAAAACATTCATGCAGGTTATTATCTCTCTCTGGTAGTGGCTTTCGGTTTGATTATACCCTACAAAAAAACTGCATTTTATGCTACCACCAAATATAAACACACACACACACACACACACACACACACACACTACCCTCTAAAAATAAAAACATTATAAAACAACACCTGACTTTTCAGTCATATATGGCGGCATTTTCAAGTGTTCTGTTATTCTATTAAATTCTGTAAGTTACTAAATTAACTTCATGATCCACTAATGGGTAGCCACTTCTAGCTACTCTATGAATAAACTAGGTATGCAGTTTTAAAAATATTTAAGTGTGGTCATCTTCTTCCTATGGATACGAATTCTCAGCTGAAGGGCAGGATGGGTGAGTGGCGTGGTTTAACCAAGGGTTTTTCTTTTCTACTTTGGGCAGTACTTGGGGATTGAACTCAGGCCTTTGCATTGAGCTACACACCCAGCCCTTTATTAATATTCTGAAATGAGGTCTTGCCAAACTGTGCAGGCTGGGCTTTAACTTGTAATCGTCCTGTCTCAGCCTCCCAATGTGCTGTTCTGTGCCACTATGCTTTTATCTCTGTCTCCTGAGCCTTTGAATATTAAAGTCTTTGAATAAGCTAAAGTCTGGTAACACCCAAGTAAATAATAGGCCAGTCCTACACTGCCATACTTGCAGCACAGCATCTGTCTGAAATGTTTCAACCCTTTTTCTTTTCACCTTCAAAATTTCATTAGTCCATGTCCGCGTTACACAATGACCTTTATCATGGGAAACTGGTACACACATACAGCACACTGCAATTCTTCCTCCTCTCCCCACCTCCATCGCTTGGTAAATTACGTTTAAAACTTCCTCTTAAATTAAAAAATGTCTTAAATTAGTAAACTGAAATGGAAAAGACATACAATTAAAATCTCCCAACTAACAGATAATCAGTGTAATATTTCTTAATGTGTCTTTTGGTTATATATTTTTTCTTATAATATACATATACTATCACATCGGTATAATGTGGATTATACATGCAAACTGTTTCCTCAAATATGTGCTCATTCCATCAAAAATCACTATAAAATATTTTATAGACTGGAGAACGTTATAAAGTGGCATAATTTATTATTTCTCTATTTGTTGACCTTTAATTTTCATGACATTTGCTATCAAAGCTTAAAAGCTCAGTGGATTTATGAACGTGACTGCATTTATCTTTACCTCAGAAATTTCTCCCATGCTTTTATATTTATAAATTCCTTCTCAATTTCTATCCTAATCTAACAGGTAAATATTCAAGTTAGCATGAAGAAATCCAATGTTCTATTATTGCTTTGGGGCAGACTTAAAGAAATGCTACTGATTAAATATTCCTTCATTTACTTAATAATAATGGGTAGCTAGTATTATTGAATAGGTTATTATGCAGTAAGATACTCTATGAAGTGCCAATGTGTAGCTTGTAAAAGAGGTTTAATAAAGTTCTGTGATTGACACACTGATTACAGAATTAAAATACATTTTCTGATTCACTTTTTAGAAATAAATTTGTTGTTATTCTGTTGAGATAGTCTTACCATGTTTTCCAGGCCAACCTTGAAATGGCAATCTTACTGCCTCAACTTCCTGAGTTGCTGGGACTATAGGCATATGTTACTACACTAAGCCACTACCACCATGCTGCCTGCAAGTAATATCCTGGACAGACTCTGAAGAAAAATTTAAAAATTAAATTAAAAAGGCCTGAACAACAATCAGTTATTATAGAAATGTACAAAGTAGGAAGTAATTCTCTTAAAATCTTGGTCTCCATGATAAAAATTAATTTGGAGCTGAGTGTGGTGGCACACATCTGTAATCCCAGCACTTGGGAGGTTGAGGCAAGAGGATTGTTGCAAGTTCAAGACCAGCCTGAGCGACACAGTGAGCTCAAGGCAGCTTGAACTGCATACTGACACCTAGTTTTTTTTTTTTAAAACGTAATTTGGGATATACTCTTCTAGATTTTTTATTCAGCTGCATAAAAACAGATGCTTACTGTTGCACTGCTTTAGTACAAAGAAAAAAAGCAGAGGACTAGTTAGAGTTGTTATTTTATCTCTGTACAAAACTCACCTAAAAGAAAGTAGGACCAACATACGACTTAGACAGGGAAAGAGTACACAATATATTATATGAAGAAAAAGGAAGGTAGGACTTTAAAAAATTGATCAGAGATTATTCTGTTGTAAACCACCACGTGGTTTACTCCTGAGATAATCATCTACTTGGTGGTATCCTTTTTTATAATGTAGTTAGATAAATTATTAGCTTTGTAGATAGCAATTTCACTGATAATTCACCAGTGGGCTAAATTTTTGTTTTTGGGTATACTGGTTGCCTTTATTAGTTTTATCTTGTTTTTACATATTTTGGAAAATCTTACTTAGTAGTGAAATTACCCGCATCTTTAACTGACAGAAGATAAAACTGATCTCAACAGTCTTTTTTTGAACTAAATATATGGACACAAATTAAACTGATAATGTGTTTTTTAGTATAATTGTGTTTGTCAGTCTTGCTTGGAATTTTAAATTTTTTATTTTAAAGAGAAAAAACAAAATTTCAAAACAATAGGAGGCAAACAATAATTTAATACACTGTGTATTGCCATTTTTAAATTAGTTACTCTGAGTACAAGATATTGACATTTAATTGTCTAAACATTAGCACAAATTTTTTTTCAATGAACTACAAGAAATTAGTAGTATAACTATCTTATTTTTTCTTTTCTCTTCCATCTTTTCTCCATTCCTCCATCCCAGTTTACCTTTGCTTTTGAAGTTTATTCTCATTTTACAATATCTGTTGGTATATTCTGGAACTTATTTACTCTTTTAGTCTCTCACACTAGGGAGACAATATGATGAATACACATCTGAGTCTGGTTTATTTCACTTATGAGTATGGTCTTGAGTTGCATCCATTTACCTACAAAAGTCTCCAGTATATCCCTCTTTATGGTTGAGTAGTACTTCATTGTATAAAAATACTGCATCTTTTTTATTCATTCCTCCACTGCTGGCATTGGGTTGTTTCTAAGATTTAGCTGTTACAAATTGTGTTGCTATAAACATGAGTGCACATATATCACTGTGGCATGCTGACAGTAATTCTTCTGGGAAGATACCCCAAAAGTCTTTGAATTTTTGGAAGTTTTTATTTTATGAAATGTTTCTGTCCTAAACCATCCATATGACTGAGCAGGAAAGGGGCGTAACAGTCGAAAAAGTAAGCTCATTCTGATATATTTGATTATGTAAGGACAATATATAACATGTGAATGGTCATAAAATGAGTTCCTTTTTAATTTTTTTAAATCTAAAAAGGTAGAGGAGTGACTGAACCTCTCAGAATCTCAGGGAAACGTGATAATATATTAGGGTTCCCTTTCTTATTTAGGCAATGCAGATGTTCCCAGTTGAATTTACTGTAATCTGGACGTAATCTCAAGTGAGGTATCTGTTAAATGCAGACATTCTTTGTTCATTCTTATTTTCTTTTTGTTTTGATTGAACTTCCCTTCGTTATTTATTTAAATGTATACTTGATTTTTTTCCTTTTACATGTGCAAAAACACTTCTGCATTTTCAGCTTCTATTCTGCATATTAACAGAATTATTGCAGATTTGGTAGTAATTGGACTTCTAATTTTTCTTTAAAAATGAGCTTAATTTAAATAATTTACTACTTCACTCTTCAATCAAGACATGTCAAGCAATTTCTCCCAAATTCTCTGTTACTTCAAGTGAAAAACAGAAACAATGAGTGGGACCCATCACAATGCTGACAGTTAAATGTTAATATTTCCGTCATGAGTATCTTATTATCTGTTGATATAGTCTAGAGAATGACAGTATGATAAAAATGAAAATTTTATTAAGAGGTATGTCACCAGATTTCCTTGTCAATATATTAAAGCAAAGTGCTCCCATATATTAGGGACATAAGATCTATAACCACCTTACCACAACTGGGGCCACAGAGTTAGCCCCTTCCACTCCCCTGAACTCAGGCAACCTCCCAGGGTGAACCGCTGACCTTGGTCTTAAGGTCTACGACCCAGAGGCAAAGAAAGACAAAGACCCAGCAGAGTCCCTGGCAGACAGTGGAGTCCCAAGCCAAATGCAAGTGTGTCAGGCTCTTCAGCATGACCGACAGCAGCCTTTCTTCCCCGGAGCTCACCAAAGGTTCATACATAAACACTGCGTCTTATGCATCCAATTACAACAGACTGAATTACAGGGAAGAATACGTATGACAGTCACCACAGACAAGGCTCAGTGCTCTGACAATGGCACTGTCCGTCACCTCTGGAAAACTTCAGGAAAGGCGCCCGAGACCCAGGGGCATGTGACACAACAGATTCAGTGCATGTGCTACAGTGCCGATTCCCTAAGAACCTGAAGACCCATTTGGGACCCCATCGCCCACAGCGACAGCCTTACCTGAGCCATTTTTCAGATACCCATTTGCATCAACAGTTGTATACATGATGTAAGGGCCAGGCTGATTCACTCCGAAGGGCTGCAACAAGAAAGGAAATACTTAGACCTGGAAAATAAGGGAATGATTTGAAATTTCAGACAAACCTATTATAAGCAAAAAAATTCTTACATATAATTCTTACATAGATGATAGGTACTTAGAGAACATTTCTACAAATAAATGGTACTTCAAAAGAAAAGCTGGCTATCAGAAAATTTTTAACACTTTAAATGACATGAGAGTTGTATTGATATAATTTATTATTTTCATGGGGTATTTCTAAGATCCAATATGTCTTTTCTTAATAAGGTTGAATATTTTAAGCAAGTTTTTTTTTTTCCCCTTTAAAACTTTACTTGGCTTTGCCTAGAATGGGTAAAATCAACAATTTTGTGGCTATGGGGTAAGCTCAGTGGTAGAGTGCTTGATTAGCATGTATGAAGCCTTGGGTTCAGTCCCCAGCACTGGAAAAAAAAACAAAACAAATCACATGACAAAAAAATACAAAGAGCTACAACTTTTAATATGATATATGCTGAACATAGCATTGTTTATTTTTTTTTTTTTTAGGGATGGACTGGACAGTTTATCTTTTCTCCCTAAAATATCAAGATAAACAAAACCCATGCACAATAATTACAACAGAATGAAAAATACTGATGTTTGCCTTTAGTCATATTACTTTTCAGGTAAGAAAAACCTGACAGGTTGACAAAGCTTTGTTACAGTGGTGAAGTTTATCTCCAACTTGTTATTTCTAGAATCTTATTCGAACCTTGAATAAAATGATGTATTCCTTCTCTTTAGAAATGAAGCTAACTGAATAGAACATCAAGGAACCAATGACTGCAATAGACATCCTCTTTAAAATGTTAACAAATATTTAAAAATGATTTTACTTTTGAATACTTGTCACAGAAGCAGAACCTACAGATCCTTTCAATAAAGTATGTAAAAGTTAACAATACTTTTAGCAACTCTATTAACATTCTAAAGATGAGTTCATCCAGGACAGGCAAGAATTAATATCACTGACACACTAACCAGTTGTCTGATAGCTGAAACGTAGACATCCAAGTGTTCCCAATGGCTGAAAAAGTCAGGCTGCTCTAAGAATAAATTACTCATACGACATCACTGAGCAAAACAGTTGCCTCAGAGACTATCACACTAATACTGAAAATAAAGTTGCTCATGAAGTGCTATTATGTACAAAGATGAACAGTATATCTTGCATTTAATACTGTTTTTATCAAAGAATTGCAAAAATTCGTTATCTATAGTCCTATTCTGCAGACTGGCAAAGGAGAGCATTGTTTTCAGATATCCATAATTTTCAAGTCAACTAACCAATCGAACAGAAATGAAGCTAAGAAATTACCCCCTTCATTTAATTATTCCTTTTATGCTTACAGCCTTTGAATGCACCCTCAGTGCATTCTGAGGGTTGAGGGTGCAGTTCTGAGACAGCACTCTTGCCCAGCATGCACGAGGTCTCCCTAGTTTGCAGCCTTAGCACTGCACCACAACAAAACCAAAGAACTCCACACACACTGTTCCCACTATGCCACCGAAATCGGATTGTATGGATTCTTCTGTTGCCTGCTTTTCAAAATGCATTTTGTTTTGTTTTTGCAGTATCAAAGGCTGAACCTAGGGCATGTGTATTCTTTTACGACAAAAGACGTTTCTACACTAAAACCTTAGCATTCAAGTTTAGTTTTAGTGCTGACACTTAGGGATGAGTAAGTGGGTTTTGGGTTGCAGTTTGGGTACCTGTCTCTAAAACATTTGCCATCAGAAACCTAAGGACATCACAATAAGCTGCATTCCCAACTACTTTAAAAAATTTTTATTCTGAGACAGGGTCTCAATAAGTTGTTCAGGTGGGGCTTAAATTTGCAATTCTCCTGTCTCAGGCTCCCAGAGTATTGAGATTACAAATATGTGCCCTATTATTTTGAGACTCATTCATGATTAAATGGTCCTGTGGTTCATTTTTACTGCTGTAGAGTATTCCACTGTGAGATTATACATTTTTTTCATTTTATTGTTGACTGACATCTTTTTTTCCCGCTGCAATAAACAGTATTCTTATAGATGTCATCTGATTCCCAAGTGTAAAAGAATATCAGGGTCAGGAACCCAGAGGGAGAAGTCATGGGATACATGCCTCTTTAACTCAATTTTTCCTAAAGTGGTCTTACCACTTTATATTGCTACCAGCAGTATATGAGAGCCACTGTTGCTTCTCATATTTTTAACAACTACCATTGTAAACATGGTAATCACTTCTTAAAATGTTTTATTTTTTAAAAATCTCTTTTTTGGCATAGAGTATACTCATTTTATATCTTAAGTTCATTTTATTCCAAAGAGGCTTGTAGCTTATATTCATGAGACACATTTACCACAGTGTGATAACCTCAAATTTACTTTATAACCCATACTCTATACCCTGGAACAGGAGTCCTGAGTTCTAAGAATTCTTTTCTGTGAATATGACCAAATTATATGTATAAATTTTTTTTTTTTTTTGAGACAGGCTGGCCTCAAACTCATGGTGATCCTTCTGTCTCAGCCTCCTGAGTGCTGGCACTGTAGATGTGCCACTACTTTGCCAAGCTCCTAGTTACATTTTTGCATATTTTCTCTAATACATGTGTTACTATCCACAGTATCTTACTTTATAGGTTAGGCATCTCTCTCTCTTTTAATGTACATTCAATTAAAAAAATTAGGGTAGCATGTTCTTGAATCTGAAAGCTGAATTTCACCTTTTACCCTGGGATAATCATTCTAATACCTGAAGAGATGGTTCAGATAACTAAACCTGATTCCACAACAGTGGTTCTCAAAGTATGGTACAAAGGCGCCTGGTACCCTTACAGAAGGTCACATTAGATAAAGTAAGATGTCATCTGTATTATGTGCTACATCTAATGGGGCAAAGCAAGGGCAGGTAATTAGCAGTAGCACCAGAAAACTATCTGTGGTTTTTTGAAAACAAAGTGAGTCTGTCTGTCATTTTTAGGAAAATGACAGTTTGTTGATAGTAATAAAAGTAAAGCTCCAAATGAAAACTACAATTTTGAAATCCTGTATCTGCCTCTGTGAGCTGACATCTTTCCAATACTAGAATCTTTCCTGACAAAATTAGAGGTGATATTAATAAAAGTGATTTTAAAATATTAAGCAATGACATATGTTATCAATAGAAAGATTTACATGAGTTGGTACTGTGTATTAGTATTTTCTCAATGCAGAATGTTCAAAGTTACACAACTATGCATGAGTTACAAGTGCAGTCAAAGGGTAGAGAGTAGGGTGGAATCAGTTCTAGAATGGTATGTAAGAACCTCAAAAATCTGGTCTTAGTTGGGCATGGTGGAGCACCCCTATAATCTCAGCACCCAGGAGGCTGAGGCAGGAGGATTGCCCTGAGTTCAAGGCCACCCTGCACTACAAAGTGAAAGTCTGTCTTAAGCAAACAAACAAACAAACAAACAAAATGAAAGAAAAAAATCTGCTTTCTCAGAAAAGCAATGAGAACGCTGGAAAAAAATTGTCAATATCAACTTTTTAAAAACTGCACAAAAAACCTAAGAGGCATTTAATTCAATAAAAACAGCTGACTCTTGCCCACACTTCTCTGAAATAATTTACTTAATAATGTGACAGTCTTAATGTTTGTGTTTCCTTTTTCCTCAGTGTTCATGTCTAGAGCCAGGCCCTTGGGAGGTCAGTAAGGTCACATGAGGCTGTGAAAGTGGCACCACCATGAGGGGTGTGGGCACAAGGAGAAGAGACCAGAAAGCTCTCCTTTCCAGGCTCACAGGCTGGGGAGAGGCTAGGCAGAGCCTGCACTCGACCCCACCAGGCCGGCACTGTGGTTGTGCACATCCAGCCTCCAAAACTATGAGAAAATTACTGTCATTGGAGCCACCCAGGCCACATTATTTTCTTGTAACTGCCAGGTTGGCTTACACAGTAATTCAAGCCCTGGAGTTCAGTCTATGTATTTCAGGTCTTGAGACTCTCCAGATTCTGAGGATTACAATCAGACATTCTGGGTTCAGACTTCTTCATACTTCCCTATGACTGTGGGCAAGTTAATTTTACTTCTCCAAGTTTCAGGCTCCTCATCTTACATTAGGGATCATCAAGGGCCTAGTATATAGCACAGGGCGTAGTGCACAAGCCATAGGGTTATAGTAAGGCCTGAGCAGCTCTGTGCAATGAACACCGTCCTCCCTTGTTTCTGACGAATGTGCTCGGAGACTCCTAACTGTTGATGGAGAGCCATGGACAATGCCTTGCTGTATACATGCAGTATGATTTTTCCTGTATATGTAAATGGCTATAATAAAGGTTAACTTCTAAATTAGGTACAGTAAAAGATCAATAATAATAAATGATAGCAATTATAGAAACTTATTGTAGTGCTACGTGAATGTGTTCTTTCTCTCAAAATATGACCGTGCTTCTTGGAGCACACGGATTCTCTGTGTTGTACACCTGGCTCTCCTCACATGCCTTGCACATGCAGTCTGAGTTAACTTGCCCTTCCATGTGTCAGGCTTCAGTGTCGCTTCTGCATTTCTTATGGATGTAGATTGTACTGTGCACTTTCTCTCAGGAAGCGCACCCTCAGCACAGTTAAAGACTTGCTTCGATTAGTAAACTATTTCCTTAGTCAAATCCTTCATGTGCTGGAAACATGGCAGCAGCAGCTTCAATGGATGCAGCTCTCTGTCTTTCTGTGTCTCTCCTTTGGTGGTATGTGGAGACTGAACCCAGGGCCTTCTCACTTTTTATCTTGTGATAGTGTCTCACTAAATTGGTAAGCTGCCCTGGCTGGGCTGGAATTTTTATCCTCTTGCCTCAGTTTCTCAGAACACTGGGGTTACAAACATGGTCCACTCCTCTGGAATCCAGCAGTCTTTATGTTTTTCAGCCTGAACTTGTACCTGAATTTATGCAGTCCTCCTTTGCTTGTAGTAAAGGCCTTGGAGTGAGTATGGATGTAGCAGTGCATCATCTAGCTCTTCCCTTCGGACTAAGACATTCCCAAGTTGTCCCAAATGTCAGCTGCTGTTAACTCAGCCGGGTCATCCCTGGACATTGTTCTTAACTAAAGAGATCTGCCTCAAAAATTATAAACTCTTCCCAGGAGCTAGTTGAATGCTATGTCTGAATAATGCAGAAGGCTAAGGTTTGGCCCCTTTGCCTCACTTGGGGCCCTCAAGGCCTCAGGGATCCCCATGCATGGCAGACCAGTCCCTCCCCTTCTGCTAGCCCTGCTTCCTGCACTGCTTCAGGTGTTACTCCCAGGAGGGGCCAAAATTAAATCTTGGGTCAGGGCTTGTTTCCATATACTTAAATATAGGAAGTTTCCCAACTATACATAAAATACTGGTAATGTAGTGCTTGTTTTTTTTTTTTTTTTAACATCTGTGTCTTATTTTACTAATGAAATATGTTCTCAAATTGCATCCATTTGCCTATAAAGGTAATGTAGTGCTTAAAAAGGACAGTAAGTATATGAGATAATAATCCTAACATCTAGCTCTGTATTGCAATTGTACTCTTAACAGTTCTTTACAGTGGCTTTGGATTATTTAATTTCTCTAAGCCCTGGTTTCTTTATCTTTAAATGAGAGGTAATTTCTTTGAAACAAGGAGTTATATGTTGAATTCCAAACCAAGACTCCCAAAAGGCTCGTTGTGTTGACCGTTTGGGTGCTGATGAGGTTTTGGGAAGTGACTGGATCATGAGAGCTTAAGGTCCAACCACGGATGAGGCTGCACCTGGCTGGCGTTAGTGGGAGTGACACAGTGAAGAGGTGGGGCCTCTCTAAGGGAGCAGACCGTGGGGTGCACGCTGGGGACGAAGTCGCTCTTCTCTTCCTGCTTCCTGGCCAGTAGCAGTGAGCAGCTGTCTTTGGCCAGGCTCTTCTGTAGAGACAGCGAAGCCAGTGACAGGGACTGAAACCTCTGAAACTGTCAGTAAATCCCCTTTAAACTGTGAATGTTGGGTATTTCATGCTACCCACTGCTGGAGAGGCATCTAACCTAAAACTGAGATCAAATATTACAAATGCCATATGTTCCAAAATAATGAGGGCAAATCAGAAAAGATTTCATAAAAGAGGTGATCCTTGTAAGAGAAAGGTAGTAAGTTCTGGCAGTTTTTTTGAGTGAAGGGTACTCTAATCACTGCTAAATACTATTAACAATTTGTACCCTATAACAACTGTGTTATGTGTGTGTATCATGCAGAGAATTTTTCCTGAAATATTAATAATTGAGAAGTAAGTTTACTTACTGTTATCTTACGAGGACAGTCATTAGAACAGAGACCACTAAGAACTGTGGAAAAATAAAAGAATAGATAATTATTACCATTATAATGTAAGCTCTAAATTTTTCCCTAAAATCCATTAATAAGCTCATATGATCAGAAGCAGAAAACATTTCAATTTCTTTAGGTCTGAGCAAGTTAAACTTCTTTTGTTTACTTTATATCAATGTTTAAATTTGAATATATCAATATTCAATTTTCAGTATTTCACTTAAGCTGTGAAGATGCTGCTGTTTTGTGTACTATATGGAGAGATAATTATCATTATGTGACATAATACTCTCCTGTTCTCCTGTTGGCTAGCTAAATTCCCAGGATGGCTTGGAATCTGCCAGAGAGTTGCCAAATGTAAATCAGTTAAAATGTACACTGAGAAAATAAAAAGAACATCAAGCACTTTGTCTCTCAGTCTACATTTTTTCCATTTATCTTGTCAAAGACGTTGGATACTCTTAATTGATGGGACAAGAACAAATATACAAAAATAATTTAGTAATACATTTATACCACAATTACAAAAAAAGTTAGATTAAAAAATTTTAAAGTGCTGTGGGTTTTGAAATGCAACTACAGTGATACCTTGGTTATCAAATGGTTTCAATCTCAAACTCTCGACTACTCAAATAGCAAAGTTTGAAAAAAAATCTGCTCTGGGGATTTAGCTCAGCGGCATAAGTGCCTGCCTTACAAGCGTGGGTCGTGAGTTCCATCCCTGGTACCAAAAAAATCCAAAAAACAACAACAAAAAAATCTGCTCTGTAATTTTGCTCACGGTCACACTGAAAATCCAACTTGAAAAAAAGCTGTATGGGCAAAGAGTGTGGGCACATGTGGTGTCTTGCAGTGGACATGAAGGGTTGACACTTCGTATAGCACTGAGTTAGTGCCTTAAAACAATGTGCATGGTGCTCTTCTATGCTTTATTTGTGTAAACATTGTAACCATAGCTCCAAAGAAAGTTAATGATATCAGCAGTCAAGAGGAAAACTGTGAGAATCGCGACAGAGTTAAAGAAAGAAATCAATGCAAAATTTGTTAAAGTCCTGGAAAATGAATTTGTAAGTATAATGTTCGGGCTGAGAGCCAATTACTTGGCTTTCCATTATTTCTATGGAAAAAGCAGGCTCAGGTCTTGAACTTTTCAGTGTTCAGACATGGATATGGAACAAAAGAGTTGAACACCTGACATGTCACTACATATTTCTACTATTTCTGGAAAATGAAAGAAATTTAACTGGTAGTGCTGCTCAGTAACACAAACTACTTCAATAATAATTATGAACATTTAAAAATATATGTTTGGGACAATGGTTTCTCATGTTTGTTTATGTTATATGAATCTGAAATCACAAACATGATGGAAATGTGCTTCATTTGGGTCTTTCTGGTGTTGCTCCAAAATCTGTGTGCTATGGCCTGGTGACCAGAATGAGAGGAGTGCGAGGTGGGGGCTTCTGGGAAGAAATTTTTCAAGAATGAGAAAAGTGGCTTAAGAAAGAGGCTGTAGCCGGGTGCAGGAATGCGTGACTGCAATCCCAGCATGGAGGGAGGCCTGGGCAGTTTAGTGAGACTCAGTGAGGAGTGGGCTGGGAAGGCAGCTCAGTATTATTGCATCCTGCTGCGTTCTATGGGCACAGCAGGTGCCCAGCTCTGGCTTGGGACGACCCCGCAGGGAGGTGTCATGTGTACAGCAGAGTCCGACCCATCAGCTTCTCCATCTTAGACTTCCCAGCCTCCAGAATCAAGAGAAACGAATTTGTTGTTTATAAATTACATTGTCTAAGGTACAAATGTAAAAAATAAGCTTAGCATTGTATCTCAAAAGAAGGCACTTGCTCCTTTACTGCTGCACACCAACATTAAATTGAAACAGTGAAAAAACATTTACACCCACAAAACAGTTCTCAGTGTTTACAGCTCCCGCGTCAGCACAGGGCCTGGTTCTATTTTGTTGTGAAGGTTTCCATGCCCTAGCTCCTCCCTCTCTTCTGTTTGGACACTGGCACTTTTGGAATTGCTTCCAAATCACTTTCAGAACCCTTCACGTGAGACATCTGTCTTAATGGACAGGGGCTACTGATTCACAAGCCTGTCTTTGTAGATGGGTATGAGCTCTGCATTATTTCATCCTTCTTTCTCTGGGCTTAACCCATTGTATTTGCTCTATAATACTTGCTAAGTGTTGGGAAAAGATGGATTAGTTAATAAATGGTACGGGATAATTGGTTACAAGGAGTAAAATAAGCTTAGGTTTCACATCACAATGTAAAACCCATTTGGAAGAGACATAATAATAAAAGAAATCTTACAGTTCAATAATAAAGATAACTCCATTGAAAGGTACAAAAAGAATCTGAATAGACATTTCTTCAAAGAAGACACACAGTCAATAAGCTCATGAAAAGACACTCACAATTATTAGCAAATAAGGAAAGGTATACGAAAACCATGACACACACACACCTGTGTTCACAGCAGCATTAGTTACAACAGGCAAAAGTAACTCAGAAGACCATCCACAAATGAGCAACGTGTGTTGAGCACTTACAGAGGAACACTAAAAGAAAGGAAATTCTGTCCCATGTTACGACATGGGTGAACCCTGAAGACTATCTGCTAAGTGAAAGTAGTGAGTCCCACAGGAATGAACACAGCGTGCCCTCCACCGCTGCAGGCTCATGATCGGCAGATTCAGCTCAATATGAACTGAACTATTTGAAAAGTAAAGCTGTCTGTACTGAATATGTGCAGAAATTTTTCTTGTCATTATTCCTTATAAGATAGTTTAAAGTTTACGGTGGGACACAAATAGTTTAAGGCAAATACTATACTATTTTATGTGAAGAACATGAGCGCCCCTGGACCTGGAATTGCAAGGGAAGGCTGGCTTTTCTAAACCAGTCCTCCGAGGGAACTGAGGGACTTTTACCGTACAACTCTGCTTAAGGAAGTCTCTTACACAGTCAAATTCTCAGAGACAGAAGCAGAATGGCAGTTAGCAGGGACTGCAGTGAAAAGATAAAAGAAGCTATGGCTCAGAGGGAGAAAGTTTCAGTTACACAAGACGAAAAAGTTCTGGAAATGTGTTTCATAAGTGATGCAAATACACACAATACACTGAGCTATACCTTCGAAATGCTTACGATGAGAAGCTTTTTTTAAAGTCACAACTAAAAAATTGTGTAAGGTGGTATAAAAATAACACCCATTAAATAGCTGACTTTATCAATGTTTTTGGAACATTGAACACAGCTATTTGCAGTCTCCCTGTTTGAATGTCCACCTTGTGTTCTTTGATACTGTGATTTGAGGAACTATTTTCAAGAAGATAGTGTGTAATTTACTAGCAGGTGATTTCTTACTGTTATGTTTTTTTGTTTTGTTTTGTTTTGTTTTGTTTGTAGTTCTGTATTGCGTGTACCCTTATGCGGCTTTGGTTTGTTTTGTGTTTTTCTCTTTTTCCTCTTAAATAAAAAATAAAAAAAAATAAAAATAACACCCATGTGCACTAAGATAGCTGTAATAAAAAAGCATTGCTGAGGATTTAGAGAGACTGGAGCCCTTGTACATTGCCACTGGAGCTGAGGAACAGTGCAGCTGCTTTGGGAAACAATGTGGACATTCCTTAAAAGGCTCAAAGGAGGCCAGGCATGGTGGCACACAGGAAGCTGAAGCAGGAGGATCATTAAGTTTACGGCCAGCCTGACAGTGAGACTTGGCCTCACTCCCCTCCTCCAATAGGTAAACAATATATTTCCTGTTTGATCAAACCATTCACTCTTCTATATATTCCAAGAAAGAAGAAAATGTACATCCACAAAATAATGCACACAAGTGTTTAAGGTAGCACTGTTCTTAACACCCGACAGCTGGAAACCATTTAAATCTCTGTCAACTAGTGACTGGGTAACAACATATGGTATATACATGGAATGGTACATTACTTGGCAATTAAAAGAAATAAGTACTCATCTATACTATAACATAAGATTTCATTTCCTTGCTAGGGATTGAACTCAAGAGCTTTGGGAAGGCTAGGAAAACATTCTGCCACGAAGCAACAATCCTAGCCCACACAAATATGCATATACAAACATTAAAAGCATTTTACTAAGTGAAATATGCCAGTCATAGATGATCCTATAGTATATGATCCACATATTATATGAAATGTCCAGCAAAGGCAATTTTGTGGGTATACAAAGTAGATCTGTAGTTGCCTAAGGATTGGGGCAATGGTGAAAGATTTAGAGAGACCGCTAAAGAGACAGAATCCTTTTTTTCAATGATGAATGTATTCTAGAATGATTTATTGTGAATATGTTACAGTCACTGAATAGTATGATTCACATGGTTAATATTTTGTGAGTTATATTTCAATAAAGTTGTTACAAAATAAAAGATACTGTAATGACTACTGACAAAGAGGATGAATGCTTTTGAAATATATTACAAAGAGATACTATTGCTAATAGCAAAGACTTTAAGCTATTAGAAGATAATACAAGAGAAAATAAGAATTTCAAGAATCCAGAGCAGAAAATTCAAATACTGAAACACATGAAGATACTAAATCTCATTATTTGGGAAAAACAAAAAAAATGACACTTTGGGAAAAATATTTGCAACATATATGACAAAGGCCTGATTTCCATAAAATATATTTACAAGTCAATAATGAAATAAGAAAAGACAAAGAGTATTCATGATGTTCAGAAACAAATGGCCTTTAGGAATATCAGCTCCTTGTTACTTGTTCCTCAGTCAGTGAGGGTCAGTACAGCACAGCAGAATACAGAGAAGCCAGCGTGATGGCACACACTTGTCATCCTAGTACTGAGGTAACTGAGGCAGTAGCACTGTTGTGAGCCAGAGAGACAGCCTGGGCTACACAGTGCATTTGAGGCCAGCCTGAACTACATAGCAAGACTACATCTCAAAAAACAACCAAACAATGAAACCAAAATAAAACAAAAAGAAACAAAAAACAATATTGAGACAGAACATT